AGCACAGCTCCAGCCCCCCTGCCGTGGGTCCCCTCCCAGCCTCCCACGAAGGTGCTGCTGAAACCCTGGCAGAGATCTGCCATGGGGGAAGCATGGTGTGAGCACCATGGTAGCTCTTGGTAGCCCAGGACTGGACCAGAGGTCTTGAACCCTGCCTCCAGTGGGGACAGTGCCACCACAAACGCAGTGAGCTGGTTCAGCCAGTCCCAGTGGCAGAGGATCTGCTGGCAGGCCTTGACCCTGACCTTGTCTCTCTCCAAGTGGAGCCCAAAGGCCACAGGATGGCCACAGGGAGGTAGCTGGGGATGCTCAGAAGCTGCATCCTCCACTGTGGGCTGCTCCGGCCATTGCGCCATCTTCTGCCTCCCTGGGGTACCTGCCCTTTGCCTGCAGGTGCAGGCAGCAAGCGGGCACTGATGCTTACCTGTTTTGTAGTAGCCAGGCAGGATGAGGCTGACTTTGATGCCCCAGGGCTGAAGTTCACTGCGGAAGGTGTCCATGAGCAGGCTGAGGGCTGCCTTCGAGGCCCCGTAGGCTGCCAGGCAGGGGAAGGGCAGGTCACCTTGCAGGAGTGAAAGGATGAATGAGCAGGCTTTCAGGCAGCTGCCTGCATGGCCAGGGACAGGCAGGGACCAGGAGGGCTCATGTAGGGCTGTGCTCCTGGCCACTGCACAAGGAAAAGGCTTAGGGTGCCAGCCTGATGCGGCTGGCTGGGGAAGCGGAGGTGCCTGGGGGAGTGGGATGCTCGACCCACACCCCAGGGGTGGGCTCAGGGTGCCAGGGTCTGGTGGGCCATGCTGCAGGCAGGCTGCTCACCCGCGGGGCTGCTGACGGTGACGATGCGGCCGCTGGCAGAGCGGAGCAGGGGCAGCAGCCCCTTGGTGAGTTCCAGCGAGCCAAAGAAGTTCACCTCCATGCAGGTGCGAAACTTGCCCAGTGGTGAGAGCTCGGCGTCGGCGATGGTGTCGTTGAAGCCGGCGTTGTTCACCAGGCCCCAGAGCCCTGTGGTGATAGGATGCTAAAAGAGTGACCTGAAGGGGGGATCCCCCACCCTGGAGATCCCAGCAGCTCCCTGGATCACAGGGATCCTGCAGGGGAGTTGCAGGGAGCCCTGGGACAAGCCCTGTTAGCGGAGGCTGTTGTGATGGGTGCAGCCTACAGTGAGGGCCACAAGCCTTGGCACTGTCACACTGGCTGCAAGCTGAGGTCCCAGGGAGCTGCCTGGGCTCCCCCAGGGGTGCTGTGGGCTCCTACCTGTGCTGTTGGTGTGGGCCTGGACGTGCTGCAGGACACGCTGGATGTCCTCCGGCTTGGTCAGGTCCATCTGCAGCAGCGTCAGCCTCGGTGAGCAGCTCCTGCGCAGCTCCTGCGCACCAGCACCCTGTGGGTCCAGCACGCTGGCGAACACCCGAAAGCCCATGGCGTCCAAGTGCCGTGCTGTCGCCTGCCCAAAGCCCGAGTCACAGCCTGCAAGAGCCGAGAGGAGCCCTGCAGTGGCTGGTGACAGCCGCTGGCCAGTGGTCCCCAGACGCCTCCAGCTCTGCCTCTACATCCCCAGGGGCCAAACCTGCTCATCATCACCTCAGGACCACTCTGGCTCATCACACTGCTCCAGCTCCTGACCAGCTGGGGACATGACCTTGCCCTGCAGCATATGCAGGTCACGGAGCTGCTGTTTTCTCTCTAGCACACACGTAGGAGGAAGAAAACACTCCCTTATCTGCAGCCCCATCACCCCAAGCGTGTTTCAGATGCGAGGTGCAGGTAAAACCACATGCACGCTGAGGCACCAGGACAGCCCAGAGCCCTGCAGCAATGTGGTGCAGGAGCCATCAACCCACAAAATAGCCTCCAAAAGCTCCACTGGGCCATTTGGAGCTGGCACATGGCTCCGTGGGAGACACTGCCTTTCCCCAAATGCTTTTTGCCTCACAGAAATGGCCAAGAAGTGCAGCACCCCCTTGCCTGGCTGGAGTGCCAAGGGGATTAAAAAGTTGGGGGAGGAAAAAAAAAAAGGGAGTCCTGTGTGCTCCTGCTACCCTGCATCCTTCAAGGGAGAAGCCGACTGGGGCGTCCCAGGTGGGAGAGCACTGGGTGCTGCTGCGCCTGGTCCCAGCCTCATCTCCTCTGTCTGGGTTGGTGCAGGGACACCGCAGGTGACGCTGCTGCCCGCAGTCGGGTGGCTGGGGCAGAGGGGCCAGGATGCAAACAAACAGCGGCAGCAAGGTACAGCCTGTTCCCGGGGCCGATGGCAGTGCTGATAGCTCGGAGGGAGCCCACGCCGCCGCCGCATTAACCATTAACAGGGGAGCACTGCAGGGGCAGCCCTGTGGCCCCTGCACCCTCCTGCCTGGCACCCTTGGGCGCCCCTTAGGACATCCCTGAGAAGGAGACCTATCCACCACCTGGAGCAGCACACGGCAGCTCCAGGCACTCCCAATCACGCCACCAGTCCCCCCATGACACCCCAGATCCCACCCAGCACCCTTCCCGCCAGCCCTGGGTTGGATGTGGGGACCAGCTGCCCCCTTCAGCTCCCTGCTCCTGCAGCCCAGGCTGGGATTGAGGCACTGCTGGCTCCAGCTCTCAGGGTGCCAGCTCAACTGTCCTCAGCTCCACGTCCACGGGCGGGTCCCCAGCTCGGCTTTACTTTATTGCTGTGTCAGAAACCCATAATAAAGCCCCTGGCCAGAGGCCAATGCGATAACACACCAGAGGTGCTCAGCAGGCAGGAAGGTGCTGCAGGGACACCCCCCCCCCCCCATGCTGGGCTCACCATCACCCCGGCATCACCCCCAGTACCATCCCCAGTGCCCAGGGGATGCTGAAGGTGCTGTGGGTGGCTGTCACGGCGCATCCACCTCTCCCCTCTGCAGGAACAGGTCGTGCTGCCAGCAGGCGGCCAGATAAGGTGCATTTCGCCTTTCCCAATAGGGCAGGAGAAAACTACAATAAAGATAAGGTTTAAAAATAAAAGTGCTCGTGGACACAGCCTCACTGTGCTGCAGCCAGCACCCTGCCTGCCACTGCTGCCGGAACAGGGTTACCTAGAAAAGCTTCCAGTCCAAACACGAAGCTCCCTATCGCCTCCCGAGCCTCAAAACACCAGGAAACATCCCAAAAACACACGAGAGATACTGGTTTGTTGGCCTGATTTGGGCAAACCTGTCAAGGAGGGAGCAAACACGGCCACATGCCGTCCCAGCCAGGCAGGGTTTGTTTTGCCTTGGAGGAGTGGGGCGGTCGGAGGGTTTGTTTCGGAAGTTTTAATTTATTCACACACACACACACACCAAAAAAAAAAACAAAAAACAAAACAAACAAAAAAAAAACCCAAAAAAAAAGGAGGCTGGCAGGAGGCCCAGGGCCAGGAGGGTGAGGATGCTCTGGTGTTATTTAAGGTCTCCAGCGCTGCTCGGCTTCCCAGCCACCGCACTCAGGCACAGCCAAGAACACAGGGAGGGAGAATTAAACCCGCCGGGACTGTAACACGGCCTCCAAGCACAGCAGCTCGCCCAAGGCCATGCTCGTTCCCTGTGGCTACCAGCACACGAACTGCCGGCCACACCGGGCCTTGGCGTGGGAGCCGCCGCTGCTGGCTTGGCCCCACTGGGAGCGCTGGAGCCGGCCAGTCTGTGCGGCCCCGGCGAGGCTGGCGCTGGGCGATGCTGCATCACGAGGAGATGCCGGCGCCAGCTCCCCCCGCCCCGGCTCCCAGCTCGCCAACCAGTTTTACATCCGTGCTGGCGGGAGGGACTGCGCTTGGACCGAGCGGCGGAGAAGCCCGGCATAGGGAGCGCGGCAGAGAGCAGGCAGCTTAAAGCCCCCATTGCATCCCCCCCCACAGGCCCTGGGCCAGCAGCCAGAGGGTTTTGCTGCAGCAGGAGCAGAGCCAGAGCCTGGGCTGCAAAATCCAGCAGAGCTCCACAGTCTCAGCTGACCTTTTGCTGGAGCAGTGGATCGGCAGCGATTCCTGGGGACTTTGCAGAAGCTGCAGCCGCTGCAGTGGCTCCCCAGGAGCGGGGCACACTGGCCTCTGCTGGGATTTTGGCACAACGAGCCCCAGCTTTACCTAACTCGAGCAAGCAAAAAGGTTTGGCCTCAGGCATCACCGTTGGGGTGCCCTCCCACCCACTCGGAGAGGATGAAGAGGACGGACCACACGCCGCCCATCGCGCAGAGATGCCCCTCGCTGGTGAAAGCGGAGCTACTGGTGGGGTTGAGCTGTCCCAGCGAGGAGCCCCTGGCCAGCCTGCCCGCAGCCTCCGCTGCCCGGCCATGGCAGAGGCGAGCACGGCTCATTCTTCCTTGCTGCCGGCAGCCAGGCTGGGCTCATGCGCTGCTGGCTGAAGCCGCGGTCCCGGTTTGGTGCGGGCACATTTCTTTCAGGTGAGTCAGGTATGGCACAGCGTTGCCTTTTTGCTGTCTCAGATATTCGGGCCGCTCCTGCAGCCAGCACCAAGGCCGCCACTCACATACACGTGTTCAAAATCAATGCTGCAGTTTACAGAGCAGAGCTGAGATGGGCAATAGCACGGCTCCTGCCCGGGAGCTGGCAAACCACAATCATCCCCCCAGCCCCTGCACCCACCACCGGCATGGTAGGTGATGGAGGACTGGTGGCACAGGTCTGCAGCACTCACCCCGATGCAATGCAGGAGCGGCTTCCCCACCTGAGCTGTGAGCTGTGCAGCCTCATCCCTGAGCCATGAGGCTGCAAGCCACACACCCTCATCTGCGATCCACAAGCTGTGCAGCCTCATCCCTGAGCCATAAACTGTGCAGACTCATCCCTGAACCACAAGCCAAACATCCTTGAGCCACAACCTGAGCATCCTCATCCCCAAGACACAAGCTGTGCAGCCTCATCTCTGAACCATGAGCCAAATGTCCTCACCCCCAAGCTGTGGAGCTGCAAAGCCCTGCATCTTCATCCCTGAGCTGCAAGCATCCCCCAACCACAAGCTGTACATCCTCATCCTCAAGCCATGAGCCGTGTATCCTCATCCCCAAGCCACACATAATGGGCCAGCACAGATCTGAAAAACCTTAGTGGTCAGAAATGCAGCTTGGCTGAAGAAGACCTGTGTGGCTTCAAAGCTGCCCAAAGTCTGGTGGGTGCAGTGGCAGCTCCCCCTCCACAGCCACCCCTGTCTGGGAGCCCAGCATGGAGGCTGGAAAGGGGTTGCCCCAGGACTGAGCACAC